AATTTTATGACTTACCAACAATCATTGACGCTAGGCTTACAAATTCATTTCCTATTGTCTTTGTGTTAAAAGAAGAACAAATAAGATACCTGGGTACTTATGGGTGTACGTATCCCATATACTTGGTCCTCTGCCACCTTCATTTGCCCCACCTTCATACTGAAATTCACGTAGGGGAACGTATACAGATATCACATCTCAAATGATAAAGGAAAATCTTATATATGTTAAGGTAATGTTTACTCGCAAGACTTATGATGTCAAATATATGCTTTTGTTACCATAAATCAATCTAATTGATTGTTCACATTTATAGTCGGACAAGATAATCATTTTAATATTGACAGACAATGTGACAAGAGAACATTTCCTTACAATTTAGACGCAAAAGTTGAAAATTCAGGTAGCAAACTACTTTATTACCTGGTAAGATGCTGAAGCTGTCCCAAATATGAAACCTGATGGAAAACTGCTCCGATTGAGGAATGAAGTGTCGTAGAGACTACCACTTAGACTAGGTGTTATAACGGACTTACTACTCCTCACTATAGGGGCAAGGAAAATTACTATGAAGCCTACAAGTACTAAAAGAAGAGAACCTCTTGATCTGGATGCCATAATTTACTTTGGTTAATTAGGCTATGCATTTCGGGCTCTGTAGCTGCAGGCATTTATAGACAGATGAAGCACATGCACGATGAGAAAAATACAATAGAACAAAGTCAAGGAGCAAGACAGATAACAACAAAACAATTAGCCAGAAAGTACTGCTCTTCCATTTTGATAAATTAATTAATTAATTAACAATGACAAAATAGCTCACGTTTCCCTTTATGTGATCAACCAAAATTATCTTTCCTCTTGAGTCATGAAAACAACTTTAATGACTATTTAAGATCACTATTAATAAATTATCATCAACAACTCAAACACTTGAGATTTATCAAAACTGATAAATAGGACAACATTAATTGTATTTGATACTCCGAAAGTTTTGTGGTTAACTCATTTAGGTTGTTTATGATATTTTCTATATATTCTGTGGCGAGGGACCGAGTCACCGAGGCATTATGATACTAGCACCCTGGCCGGCAAGTTATGCCTAAGTGTGCCGGTTGCCGGCAATATTGGGGCTATAGCTGCAAATTAGCAGAATAATTATTTTAGGCTTTTTATCACAAATGGTTCTTCAGGTTTACAAATTATCACGAATCGTCCCTCAAGTTTTTTTGTGACACTAATAGTTCTTTAGGTTATTATCCACCCATCAAAATGGTCCTTCTGTTAGTTTCTGTCAAAACTTCCGTTAAAATCACATGCTCAGCTTGCTTTTTGAAATAATAATATCATCATTCCACTCAACCTTCGACCAAACCCAACAGTCAGAATCCTTTCCCTCCATTTCCTCATGGTCCTTCCGTTTTAGCGCCCCTGTAGTATATAACCAATCAAAAAAGTAAACTTCTGAAGAAATTGAAACAATCCAAGCTCAAGAGAAAGACCGACAATGGAGAACTCCAAAGAAAGATCAAACTCATGGATCAATTTGAAAAATAGAAGTCCTGCAAATTCATTATCAATGGCACATCAAATACAGAGTCCTAAAAAAACTATTGAACCACATTAGTACTTAAAAAACCAGTGCACCACATCAAAGACATCAATCTTGGGCAAGTCCTAACACAATATATCAAAATGAACTTCCCAAATCCTAACACAATACATCGAAATGAACTTCATTACACTAATACCTGGATATGCCCTTAACTCACTGGAATATTTCTCAACCATAAAGGTTGAATTCATCCAAAACAACTTCTGATCAACTTGAACAATCATGCTCCAAATTCATTGTTTTAATCACCAAGGTTGGTGACTCATCAATTCTTGATGCATATATTACAAATGGACATCCTTCCTCACATGTAGCCCTCACCCTATTCTTGTCATTCTTCTTAAACCAAATTTTTCTTCCTCACTTGCAACCATAATGAATCACAGCCTCTTTGAACTGACTTTTGTTGGGAAAGTGCATACCAATATCAAAGCTTGGATTCCTCAACATAGACTCTCTCCTCCATTTTCAATAGTTAGGAACTACTTTGGTCTTTTTCTTTTTGCTACTAACTTCATCATCCATATCAGATTCATCATACCCATGTTTGCTATGAAAATCCTCAGAGTTTTCCAAATGATCTGAAATCTCCCCTGCAAAACCCATCTCTTCAGGCTCCTCTTCAATCGGATTATCTATTCCTCAAACATATTATTATTGATCTCAATCTCTTCAGCTTCTCCTATTTTGCACATAGTCACTGTCTATGAAGTCCATATCCAATGGATCTTCCTCATCTTCATCTTGTTCCTCTTCAACCTCACTGTCGTTTTGCCCCTCATGTTGTACCTCAAAAGCCTCATTTCCCCCCTCAGTAGGTAGGTCCCCAAGCTGCCATTGATTTCTGCTTGAATTCTCTTCTTGTCTTTTAAAGGTATCAAGGTTGTCATCATTCCAATCAATAAACAAACCGTCCCAATTCAAAGATTGGGCCACATGAATCTCTTGCACAAATGGTATTTCGTTATCAACAGTGTTCATAGGCATACAAGGTTGACTTACTGGTTGTTGTCTAACTACATACAAAGGCATATTTCTACTCTTAGGCATGGCTGCAACCATCTTCAACACATGCTCATCATTTTCTAAAATTTTAAAATCCTCATTGTCCACCTTGCAAAAAAAAAACTAACTCATTCCTTTCATGTCCTAATTGTTCTACAATCCTCACAAGCTCAATCCATGACATTTTATCTCCATCTACGTGGTCAAGAAACACAACCTCTCCTCCTACATATTCATCAATGCCTCCCCCTTTAATCAGTTTGCCTCCATGATGAATCTCAAGACTAAATTTATCAGGATCTGCCAAGAAGAAATAATTAAATAATGCCAAAAGCCTTCTTTTAACTTAATTATCTTATCCTTTTTTTTTGTTTTTGTTTTTTTTTGTATATCAGCATCGCATACCTAAAAAAATTAGGTAAAAACAGACCTAACAATTAAGTAACAAATGATACACAACTCAACTACTAATAAACAGAGTAGTAGTACATGACATATTTCAATAATTCTCAAACCCAATAAATAGTAAATTTGGCTTACACCCTTCAAATTCAATTTGCTGTATCTAAAACCCTTCATTTTTTGTTCCTATAAATAATACCCAATTTGTATAAGTAAAAACCCATGAATAGGATCCAACTCAACCAAGTTACCTGATTAAGCATAAAATCTGATTTATTGTACTTTTCCGATTCCAAAAATACCCCCAACTAAGCCATTATTGCATTTTGTATATTAATGTAGGAATCAATATGGAAACAATTTTTAATTGAATTGTATACAATGACAGATGTTGAATTTGAAAAGATCTCCAACTGGTTGTAATGGATGTATGAATTAATTTTGAAATATTTTAAAAAAAAATTAACAATAAATTCAAATTTGGGAAATCGGTTTGTTTAATAAAATGTTTATGTTATTTTCTTTTTATGAATTATACATGACTAATAATCCACTTTATAATTGTTTATGAATAAAACTGTACATACTAATTATGTTGAAAAAATAATGTACCTATTACTTGTTTGTTTTATGAAAAATATAATTTACCTAGTATGAAAAGTGTACATAATTATCTATTCCAATATACCTACATTATACGATATCCAATATACCTACATTAATTTTAATGTACCTACAATTAGGATTCAGGTATTATATGCCATCCAATGTACCTACCATTTGAATAATATACCTACTACGAATAAAGTACCTACTATTTATCTATTTTTAATTATGAAAAATATACGCAATTACAAAGTAACTGACTTTTTTTTTTTGGGTAAATAATATACCTATATTTTATATGTATATATTTATATTATATTTTTCATAGGTACATTATTGGATATGTAATTTACATATATTTTTTTTTTGTTTGCAATTTTAGGGGGCAAGATGTGAGAGGGAATGCCAACTAAAAGAAATGGGGTGATTGATATGCTATTAATAGGGAGTATATTAATTACAATTATGGCAGTTAATGCAATGCTTGAAATAAATTAGAAATAAAATATGAACTTTAGTGGCAACGATGTAAAAATATAGAAATACTACGACCTTTTATATCCTATTGGTTATTTAAATTTGAAATTGGGTTTTAGACATAGATTTATAGAGTGATGGGTATATGTCTAAGAAATAGAAAATGTAGGGATTTATATTGGACAAGCCCATAAAACAAACATGGTCCACACCAAAGCTGAAGCCAAACTGAAAAACATAAAGATATCATTGACAAATATAAAAAGTTTAAAAATATTGCACAATCAAAATACCACCACATGTTCCACAAAACAAAGCAACCACATTTGCAGACAAGCTGTAGTTTACACTTTAACAAAGATTAAAAAACTAACCTGTATACTTTGGCTGTTTCCCCCCCTTTCGAAAGAACTCCTCTGGCTCATCCATCTAGTCACTTTTGTAAGAAGAATAATGCGTATTTGACTCTTACAAACCCATATATATATATATATTCCTTTTGCATACCAGTTTTATCAATTAAATACCCAAAAAACCCTAATTGTGCCAACTGAACCCCAAATAGAGAGGAGGGCCCGGGGAGGAAATGGAGGGAAAAGGTTATAAACTGCAGTTTAGAGCGCCAAAATGAAGGACCATGAGGAAATGGAGGGAAAGGGTTCTGACGGTTGGGTTTGGTCGAAGGTTGAGTGGAATGATGATATTATTATTTCAAAAGCAAGCAAGCTGAGCATGTGCTTTTAATGGAAGTTTTGACAGAAACTAACAGAATGATCATTTTGATGAGTGGATGATAACCTAAAGGACTATTAGTGTCACAAAAAAACCTGAGAGACGATTCGTGATAATTTTGTAAGCCTGAAGGACCTTTGTGATAAAAAACCATTATTTTAATATGATATAAAATGTTATAAATATTGAAACCACATAAAAACCCAATTACCTTTTTTGTGTGAAGCAATTGTACTATTACCCTGGCTGCTACAACATCAGGTCAGTCATCAGTATTTATTATTATTATTATTTTTTATCCAAAGGATGATCTACTTTAAACTAATCTAAACTAGAGGGAGGGAGATTCGAACTCGGATGTAAAGTGGGGAGCACATCAGCTTTAACCAACTCAGCTAAGTCCATATCTACGGTGATTATAGTATTTAATTAAAAACTCTGATTTGATGCCAACATGAGGCTGAATACAACTAACAAAAGTACTTTTGCATAATAATTACATTATTAGTTAATGGCAACCTTTGGATCAATCGGATACCACTAGGCTCGGCAGCCAGAACATACAAGTTCTAGGGCTTGTTAGTATATGTGTGCGTCCGGTACATTAGCCTCAGAATCTGTTGGGTAGCTTTTGTGTCTAGCATTAAGATGAAGTGCAAAATATGTTCTATCTATTAATCTAATTCAATAAAATCAATTGAACCTTTAAGCATCTTTTTTTATTGTTTTTGTTTTTGTTTTGAGTGAGTAATCGATTTCCTTCCAACAAGAACCGCATGCGG